AAAAACCCCCCCCCCCCCCCAAATTTCTTGAAGAGATTTTTGGGACAATTTCTGTTATGTGTTTACCGGACAAAGGGGGTTGAGACTGAGCTGTTATTGAGTCTAAGTAATTAATCCCCCATCTGAAAGCTTTTTAAAAAAACTTGTACTGTTTTACTCAGTTGACCTCCAGTAAGGTCAGTATTTTATCAAGAAGATGGACTTCTTTTTGGCCAGTCAGGTGGCATATTTTGGATTTCTTATTATATACTCAGAATTTCTGAAAAATCCCCTGAGACCAAAGATTTTATAATCTGTCTGAGCTCCTGTGGGTCAAAGAGGTTGGAGCCTGCTGATGAAGTATTTCATTCAGATTCTAACTTGAGTTTCAGGCCCTGATTCAAAGTCCATTGAGATCATCAGTAGTCTCCCATTCAAGAGTTTTTTGGGTTTTTGTTTTTTTGTTTTGTTTTTCAGTCCAACCCCTTTAAATTCTATTAGCCTAACAAAAGATGACCTGGATCAGATCTATATAAGGCCATTAGTTATAAGTAAGGTCATTTCTTTTTACCTTTAACCTCAATACATAGAAATGGACACAGCACAAAGCCTTGCTTTTGGCCTTACAAGATTCATATACAACATACATATGCATGTAGCAGACATTCCTTTTTTTAAAAACTGAGGACATTTCCAGATAAGTCCTTCTATTGGTTTTCTTAGTTGTGCACAGTAAGACGGGGGTGGAGGGGAACGCTGGTACTTTTTATGCTGGTGTTCTGCAGCCACAACAATACTCTACTTAAACTTTTAAGTTTGTGAGGTTCTGCAAACAGATTCAGCCAATATGACTGTACCTGCATCCTTATCCGAATTCATGTTAGTTGGTTGCTTCTTTGCTGTAGCAATCACTTAAGAGCCTGGTATTATAAGGGCCTACTTTAATTCTAGCTTTCTCTCCTAGGTGGCTGGGAAGGGCAAGCTTCATTTAAACTGACCTTCAACAGTGGAGGAGCCATTGAGTTTGGGCAAATGATGTTCAAAGTTGCCACAAATGGTAAGGGATCTTCAGAGGCTTATGTGCTTTGTAGCTGAGCTGGTTAGACAACAGTAACTTACACGGTGGCAAATTCCTCTGGAAAAATAGCCTCTTTAAACTTTTCAAGTTTGGATTTTCCACAGTGAGCCTTTGTTTTGGTTTTAAACAAGACAAAAATGAAACAAACATGGGAAGTTTGTTTCGGTTTGGGAAAATGTGTTTTAGATTTGGCTTATTTAAGTGATCCAGTTAGGAGAGACTGCCTAACTGGAACAAATTAGAAAATATGAAGTTGTGTGGGAACCATGCTCATTTTCCCAATTGAGGAGAAAGTGTTAAAACAGTTAAGGGTTGCAGGGAGGAAAAACAACGCTGGGGAGGGAGAGTAACTGAAGCTTGACTTCCAAAATATGAGTATATAGTCTTAAGTGGGGGGAAAAAAGTTATGCTCCACTCAATAAACTAAAATGACTGTTTTAGATTTTCCTGAATATTCTTTTTTAAGAAACTTTTTTAATGGTATTTTGCTGTGGGAAATGCTGATGTGTGAGGAGTGGGTTTTTGATTAAAAACTACACTTTCCAAAAGAGAACTCTTCAGTTTAAAAAAAAAAAAAAAAAAATCTAGCTAGCAAAGGTGGGTACATAAATATGTAGAAGTTGCAGATTATTCAGTTTATTTCCATAGCCTCGACATTGCAGACTCTGCTTTTGGTTGTCAGCTGGGGGCTAGAGTGTAAAGTTGAGAGGAGAAAATAATTGCTAGATGTTTTTGGGCAGAGTGATTGTGGCAGGACTCAGTAGGTCACAATCCTGGATCCCAGGCAGATGGGAATAAATTCATGGGTGGTTTTTTCTCTACACACATTGCTACATTTTAAACTTAACTGCAATAGAGAAGAGTCTGACTTGCTCACCTTTGTCCTTATCAGCTTCCAGAGGGGCTCCTGTTCAGAATCCTAGCTATGGCTATATGCCAGCCTATGGAGGCTATTCGCCTGCTCCCAGCAGCTATTCACCTGCCCCAGGCAGTTATTCACTGGCCCCAGGCGGCTACGCACCTCCACCAGCTAATGGACCATATCCTTATGTGCCTCCACCAATGAATGGATATGGACCTGTTTCACAACCAATGGGCTACCCATATCCACCACCTGCAGGTAATGCTTTTGTCAGTTCACAGTGTGAAGTATGCTAGTATAGTTTGAGAGAGTGTGCAGCATGAGCTGTAAAAGGGCTGTGTTGGCAGAATGAAGAAGACTATAATCTTCTGTCTAATTTTTCTTTAAACCCCTGGGGATGTCTGCCCACTGCCCTAGGCTTGATGATGTTACAGCAGTCCATCAGCAGAGAAACGCCTTCATCTCTGACCAACACTGATAGATCTATGAGAACTTTGACTTTTTTTTCCTGGGATTTTCTGGCAAGGAGTGACCCAATGAAATCCAGATGGAATTGTATTGCATCTCCTTATTATGTGTCTCCAACCCTAGCAAGACAGGGAGGGAAGGCTGCAGTATTGCAAATCATGTCCACATTTGGAACATGAGCACTGCTGTCTGCAAAGTCCTTAAGGCTGTAGAGAAATAGAAAGTCACTGATGTTGAACTCTTGTTCTCCAAACTTACGAGACTTCACCTTTGTTCTGTCAAGAGATGAAACACAACAGGGAGGGTTTACAGGAAGACTATAACACGCAGGAATAGTTTGAAATATAATTTTACTTTTGTGTTTCTTTAGGGATGAACCCTGTGTATATGCCGCCACCTCCACCATATACTGGGCCTTCTCCTGCAGGACCATCAGCCCCCTCAGCCCCTGCAGCCTGGGTGGAACCTGGAATGTCAGGTATGGGGAAGGACTGACTAGCTATGAACAGTGGAGTTGCTGTTGTTACGGTAGTTCTGAAATATCCATTTCTTAGTCTCATATATGAGCTGCTGGTAAGGGATGAAGAGGAAAGTTTCAGATTGCTACTACTAGGAAAAGCTGTGCAGATCTCAGCTTTTATTTGGACTAGTTCATAAAAGCAAGAGAACTGGCTGCACTGAAATCTATTTGTCCTTCGTTTAGGTACAGAAAGGTGAATACTCGGGAAGCGTGCAGAATGGCTTCTGTGCCATGCCTTTTAATATAGCTACTAAAAGGGTTGAGGGAGTGTTCAGACAGAATTTTTGCAAAGGAAATGGGAGGTCTGGGTCAGTTAATATAGACTGAACAGTAGCTTGTTATGGGCATATCTTTAGATTCCAGTGCCACTTTGTACAGTGTTATGCCAGGCTTGCTGCACACATCTGGTATGCTTGTTAATCTCTTGGGTGAGAGGTGGGGAGGGCCTGGGAGCCTGGCCTTTCTCTCAGGGAGCTGTCAAACCCTAGATATTAATGAGGAACCAAGGTCTGGTAGGTAAAGCCCAGAGCTGGGAGGTTTGCCACAGATTTGCTTTGACGTTGGGCAAATCTGTTAACCTTTCTGGGTGTCTCTCTCTTTTTTTTTTTTTTTTTCTTTTCCCCCCTGTGTAAAGTAGAAATGTATTACAAATATACATTGAGCCTCATGCTTTGAGATGTAGAACAACTTAGGAAGACACTTCTACCAATTTTCTTGCCTTATTCTGTAGGTGACAGTAAAGCAGCGGAAGCGGCTTCGAGTGCATATTATAACCCAGCCAACCCCCACAATGTTTACATGCCTATGGTAAGCATCTGGCTGTGTGGTCCTGTTGGGTCAGGAACTCTGCTTCTCTTGCTTGCATGCTGTTTGCTGTTCAGATACCACAGCTCGATCCTGAACATCCTGCCACTTGAGCGCAGATTTGTTAGATCATAGCCTATAGCACATGCCAGTTTTGCACTGGGAAGCAGGACACTTGGCTTGTTTTAGCAGAGCATGTTACTGACCCATACTTCCTGAGTCCCACAGGCAGTTGGTTTGCCTTGCACAGCAGTAGGTTGGCGTCACTTGAGGTTTTAAGTTGAATGGCTAGGGACGTTGAGGGTAACAGAATGATCCTTATCTAGTGTTTAATGTTAGTTACCTTCCTCAATTAAAACTGAGATGACACTAAGACATGCATGACAGTGCCGTCTGTCTAGAAAATGTAGCATTCTCAACTTATTCTGGAATGGAAGGAAATGAAGACTAGACTTTTATAAAGGGAAAAGATGATACAGGTTTAGATTCTTTTGGTACTCTCTGGAGATGGCCAAGCATTCTTGTGGCTTTAGGAGCCTAGAACAGTGATCTACAGGTATAGAGCTTGATTCCACATATCTTGGGGTAGCCACAAACTTGTGCCTAGTCTTATTCCACCACAGCAGATCTACTTGAAAAAATGTTCACATTTTTCTTATAATGCACTGAGAGGAATAAGACAACAGACTGGGGCCTGGGACTAAAGATCTTGTGTAACTGCTATGGGAAACACAAATTGTCCCCATGGCTTTAGGGAAGAGAAAACAAGGATTAATGCGCAATGTCCAGTCACATTGCTTCCTGAGTACAAATGTTCATCTCTTCTTGGTGAAGCCTCATTTGAAGCATTGTTAAAATTGACACAAAGGGTTGAAGGGATGCAACTTAAGCCAGGGAGGTTAGAGTGTAACAATAACATAGAACAGTGTTTCTCAACCAGTGGTATGTGTACCCCTGGGGGTACACGAGACACAGGCAGGGGGTACACATTCTGGTCTTTGCCTGCTCAGGCCGGAAGTTCTGGCCACTGACCCTCCGGCCGTGTCCAGTGTGCTGGGGCTTTCAGTCTCCAGCGTCAGTGTGCCGGAGAATAAGGAGGGAGGCCCTGCACAGGCTGCATTGCCCCAGGCTGCGGTGGATAAAGTGGGACTTGGCTCGCAGCAGTGAAATTGGAAGTGTCACAGTGGGACTTCCAGTTGCGCTTTTGCCTTGTGAGTCGGCAGAGGGCACATAAGGTACGAAAGGTTGAGAATCACTGGCCTAGAATATTGAATGCAAATCTGTTGCGAGTTCAAAAGCTGCGAGTACATCTGTAAAGGTGCAACAGACAGGGAAGACTGGATATGTGAACTCAGCCTGCAAATCCTTGGAAAGTGGAGCAGTTTCTAAAACCAGCAGTGCCTCGTGCTAAGCAGACATGTTGACTCTGACTATCCTCTTTGTTTTCAGGACCCACCACCTCCTTACGCTCCTCCCGAGGAGAAAAAGAACAACTAACAGAAGGCACCCAGCAAGCAACCTCCCACGATCTTCCTCCATGAAGACTTTTTTGTCATCACCACCACCCCCTCAATTTAGTGCATCTCTAGTTCGTGTGTACATTACATACCTAGTACTGAGTGGCATAAACACCCACCCTCCTTAAACATGCAGTATGGCAATACAAAGCAGAGCAGCAGTACTTTCTGCCTGTTGGCTCTATACTCCAGGTCTGAACAGAGTCCTTTTTAGGATAGCTTCTGTTCTCTTGCTTGAGAGGAGAGACACATTCTTCTCGACGCATTTCTTAGACCAACAGACAGAGCACCTACCTAATTTTAGGAATAAAGTATTAAGGCTTTCTGACTGAAGTGGAAACAGCTTGAGGCAGAAGCTGCTGAACACTCTCTGAGGCAGCATTTGGAGGGAGCTTGCTGCCATGTTCCCCCACAGCAGTCTATGCCTGGAACCTGTTGCAGTCTGGCACGGAAGATGAGACTGTGGAAGTGATGGGATATGCTAAAGGCCTATATTCATTGCCTTCCTGGTTCTGTTGAAGTGATGCAACTTTTAATGCAGGAAATGTCTCCTGAGAGACTTGGCTAGTTCAGAAATATTTAGTAGTGTATGTGCCAGAGGGGATGAGCGTTGTAGCACAGAGGCAGGCCTAACAGCTATGCAGCAGTGAAGACTGTGAACAGGCTTTGAGTAAATCAGCCTAATTATATAAATCCCTAAGGGTGAAAGAGGCAAACAGCAGTGCAATTGTATCTCTGCCAGTAAAATCCTCTGTGCATGGGTCTCTCTTCCCAGTCAACCCCCCCCCCCCATCACAAAATAGGTGGTTGAGGGACATACTGAGGTTCTCTACTCACTGGGGCATGTAGAGAACCAGTGGTGCCTACCACCCTTCCTTTACTTTTCCTTTATTGAGAGCATGCTCTTGTGTATGGAAGATATGTCCTTGAAGATGTGGCAACGTATGCTAGCTTGGTGGTGTGGCCGTCTGATGCTGGTGATAGACAAGACAATGGAGGGATCTTGGGGTCTGAACTGGAAATGGGCAAAGGCTTTATAAAGCCCACCTGCCTTTGTAAATAAAGTAAAAACAACTAATGGGGTTGGGTAGAGGTGACTGGAATTTGGGCTGCACATAGCACAAGCGTGGTGGCAGTGGGAATGAATCCAAGTCTTAGAGGCCCCCAGAAATTGGCTCCACCTCTATGCACTGATGCTATGTTTGGCAACAACCTGCATTACCATCAGAGGGAACAAGCTCTAGTTAAGGGGGGTGGGCACTTTGTTTCACCCCAAGCATGCTAGCTGAGTGAGACTTAGACTGTGGAGGACAGACTAGTTCACTTCACTGTGCTCCTCTTGCATTCACCCCTTGGCTCAAGTTATATCTGCATCCTAGCAGTGGTGGGGTGTGACACTGGAGTTCCACTGCACAGGGTTCGTTCTGCTTCCTAAATGGAGCTGGTATCTTCATGCTTGCCCCTGGTATTGCAGCATCCTTTCAATAAGCAGATTATTTTTTTTTGTGATATGGCTGTAATGCCCTCCCTTCTGTTACCAAAAATATAATGACACAGCTATGTCTTTCTCTGCTCCCCTGGAGCCTTTTTGACCTTGCTCCAAGGGGTATATCTCACTTGTCTAATAGAGAACCATGTGATTCCTTGTGGGGTCTGCTCACCCTTTTTCCCTTCAACAGTGAGTAAGGAATATTTTCCTACCCCCTTTTCTCCCTGTGTAGCAGGGCTACTTTACAAGGCTTCCAATGTTACATAGATTTCTTGACAGCCCTGTGCAAAGGACTGACTTTCCTTTTCCTAAGAGACCTTTTTAATCGGAGTCTGAAATGCTGTAATCACTTTCTAGAACTAAGTGTTTAGCTATGAATGTTTGTAACTTTTGCATTGCACTTTAATACAGAAGCATTTAATCTTTAGCTGTGTGCCTCCATTCACTGTTTTATATGCTCATAGAGTGCAGCCCCTGCCCTTCCCTTGGTGGCTGCGTAGTCCCTGTTCCCTTTTGTACTACTTTTTATGACTGCATTTTACCCCTTGCCAGCTGGGGAGAGGGAAGCTGCTTTGGGTAATCTTGTGATCACAACTGCCAGTCTCCTTCCCTGTGGTGTGTGCCAAGCACCACAGCTGAGCGACTGCCACATTGCAACTGCCAATGCAGTAGTTGGGACTGTCTCCAGTAAGCAGCTCCTTTTGAGGGGGAGGCCTATTTTCTCTGATTGCAGTTAGCACTGAATTCTTCCTTGCTTAAGATCAAAAGCAGGCCTGGATTTCTCTTGCTGCCATCATGCTTAGCTGTTCCATCTTCTGTGGTTACATATATAAGAAGAGAAGTTTTAAATTTCTTCCATATCACATTTAGCTGCTCTCAGCTGGTTTGTCTTGGATGTCCCACGCTTGCTTTGGAGGAAGATGTGGTGGATCAAAGTACACAAAAGAAATTGGGAAGGAGCAGTTGCATATAGCTTCACTTAGCTGCTGCCACAAGAGGAGATAAGATAGTTTGCCAGCAAGTTTGCTGTCAGTCTGATATTCCAGGTTGGGAATTGCAATCTGTACTACAGCTGTTGAGCAATGTGGGTACACCACTCACTTGTAGTGGGAAAGACAGACTCCTGGCCACAATCTATAGCTTGGTTGAAAGGCTAAACCTGCCTTAATCCAGCTATGCTTATATATAAAGGAAACCCTCACTATTCGTGGTTTCAAATATTCACGAATGCCAAACCCACTTCTTAAATACATGTAAAGGAGCAACTCAGGAGCTCTGCACTTACTGCTGCCACCGGGCTCCCAGTCACCAGAACAGCTGTGCCGCTCTCCACCACAGGCCACTGAGTTCATGAACACAGTGCCTCCTTATTTGTGGATTTCACCATTTGCAGGAAATATGAGAATGTATCCCCTGCAAATGATGAGGGTCGCCTGTAGAAGGTCCCAGGTCCCATCTGTCCTAAAACTGGAACAACATGGGATTAACACAGCCTGTCACTCATCTATGATTTGCCTCGCTGCAGCCAGAAATAGTTTCTACAGAAGAGGAAGAACTGGCTGTCTGCAGCCCTGCTCCTTTCATACGAAAACTTTGGTCAGGAGCTACTGGGACAAAGATGGGCAGCAGCAACCATTATGGGTGGGTCCTGAGTGTATCTATTCAATGTAGGCAAAGGCTCCAGTTAAAAAAAAAAAAAACAAAAAAAAAAAAAAAAAAAAAAAAAAAAAAAGATGCCCTTTGAAACTAAAAACGGGAGAGAGGGACCAGACTGATACTGCTATGGGAATATCACCTAGGTAGCCAAGGTGGCACAAAAATATCTCTTAACATACATCTCCTTCCCTCCATAAAAGCACTGACATTCAAACAGTCTCCATCCTTCCATAACATTCAGAAACTTTGCAGATTCTTCCTTTGATTGTGAGTGAAAGACAGCAGGAAAATTAAGTGGCTGATTTTTTTTTTTTAATTAGAAAAGAATAACAAATCTGCTTGAATTCATAGTTATATTCTAGATAAAAGTTTGAGATGAGAACTTACTTGCAAATGCCAAAGTTAGATTGTAGCAGTGAAAACAGAAGCCTTCTTAAGCATTAATCTTCATGTAATAGCTTGAAAACTAGCCCTAGGTCTGTATCAACCTAACCTCTGAAAGGTATACAATTCTCTTTCCTAGTGTGGCAATTATGCATGTATCCTGAGAAGGTGAAGTACAAGAGCATGTGAAAGATCAATGACAGCTGGCAATGGATGTTTTATACAGCATACTTATCCAACAGTCACAGTGAGGTCTGAGACTTGCTTCCCTTTTATTTAAGGAATTTCCAATAAAAAAAAAAAAAAAACTAACCTGTCAGAGTCACTTAGAAAGCAAAACTAATCCCTGTAGGATGTCAGGAAGTTTGACTGGTTTCAGTGTAAAGTGCAATGGCTGAGGTTTTGCCTCTACTGCCTGGCACTTTAAGATTTTTCTTGACAGCCAAAGCTGTCTCTCTGATGCTTTGAGGCCACCACCTCCTGCTGGTCTCAGGAAACTATAAATGGAAGGCAGAACACTTTGCCTACTTAAGTGTCCAGTCCTTTTCCTAGCCTGGAAAATGCAAAGAGAAGTCCATATAAGTCACTTACTAAGGTGGAAAGGAACAACCAGTGCTCTCCACCTCTGTAGTAAGGGGCCACCTCCAGCCTGTCTCTGCATTCTTTTTTAAGGTTTGGTAAGTGATTTTGTTGAGAGGCTTAAGGAATAACCATGTCTGGGCAGGATTTAACACTATTTGGGCCTGTTCTGTATGGTTGTAGGGGCAAAGAAACCCAGAAGAACCTTGTTGTGGTTCTCCCCAAAAGGTCAAGGCCAACTCTGGCAGTAGAATTTTCTAGGAATTACAGCAGTACTGCTCTCCTCTGCAGTGATGTTACCTGATCAGGTGATGGTGAGGATGGGAGCCATGGAGGCCTCATTTTGTTTTTGGCACTGGACAGATGCAAAAGCCTGACTTAGACTATGGACAAATGTACATTTGAAGCAGCCTCAAAAGGGGAGTGCAAACTGCTGCTCTGGACCATGTAGCTTGTAGCAGATGTCACGCTGACCGTTACTTATGCATGAGTCTGTAGCCATACAAAGTGTAGCAAAACTGCTCCAACTTTAATCCTGCTTTGTCCAGGGTCAAAACTGAGGCAGTCTAACTCATTTGTGTCAGTATGGGATCATGCACCTTTCTCCTTTTGAAGCTGCTCCAAGTCAATGCAAGTCCCCCGTTGAAGCTGCTCCAAGTCTAGATTTATTTTGAAAAGTTCTTTCACCAGCCATTTAGCACCCAACGTTCTACACATTCCCACGCACCCCCAGAACAGCTGCCATCTTTCCTGCTAATCTATCATAATGTCTCCCAGGAACCTGTTTGCCCTCTGGATTGCAACCTGTAAGAATCCCCTTTAGGAATGCCTTTCCGGGCTACTGTGTGCACTTGCAAGCAGGGCAAAAGGTCAGGATCTGTCAACTAGCTGGGATGGAAGATTCCAACAGGAGTATCCCATTTTGCCAAAACAAATTAATTATTCAAACCAGGATAGAGACATGGATGTTCCTGTTCTAACCTTTGTACTGCCACTGCTGTATGGCAAAGCCTCTCAGTGCCTTACTGTTGGGACAAAATGAACGTTTAGCAGGAGATGCGAGACGATAAGCAATGGATGAGCACACTGGTAGTTGAGATCATATCTCATGCATCTGAGACATTATGTATCCGTTACAATTAATCCTCACAGAACCTGTAAGTAGAACTGTCCTCCCTTTATGGGTGCTGTATAATGAGAAGTTTGATAAAGGTGATAGACAGAGACTGGATTGAATACCAGGAGCTGAATGCCCAGTTATATGCTCTGAGGACAGCTCTATACTCCCAAAGGAGTGCTGTTGTCTCTGCAAAAGAGTAAGTCTCAGCTGGAAGTGGATGAGTCCTGCTGACTTTTTTTTATATATGTCATTCTGATCTAAAGAATGTATTTTTTTGGAGGGGGGAAGAGAAGAGAAAAAAAAGGTACCCCATGTAGTATGTGTGTCTGCCTGTCCAGCACGTGTATGGAACTTAGGTCCTCATGATACTGAGATCAGATCTAAGGCCTTACTGAAAATCTATCCAAAAGAGCCTTTCCAGTGACCTGTGGTGGTGCCATCCTTATCTAGAAAGGAATTAAGGCCAAATGGTTGAACAGTACTTAGCTTGTTCTTATCGCAGCTTTGCTCTGTGCTTGCGTGGCATCTGCCATAGGAGGGTCCCACAGCACTTTACAATCATTAATGAATTAAGCTGGACATTATCCCCATGAGGTAGGCAACAGTTATCACTGCTTTACAGAGAGATTTAAGTATAAAATCACAGGCTTGAACAATATGAACAATTTAAACATCAGTTCCCTGTAGGGTGAAAGTGTCAGCAAGAAGCTAATGGGTGCCAAAAAGAAGCCTGCACTCCAGCATCTTGCTGCTAAAACCTGAGCTGGCCCCCATCACCTTTCTTCAGTTGGTTTCACAGGACCAATGGATGAAAGCCCTTCACAGGGGATTGCTGTCTGACAAAGTTCAACGGCTGCTCAAGGTACATGGTGGGATAGAGGTACCACATGACCACTCCTGAGGGGTTGACGATGACAGTGAAGTTGTGTTCGGGTGCCAAGCCACTGATGATGTTTCCGCTGTACACATCTTGTGCCTGGAAAAGACATGGCTGTTATCAGTACTTCTACACACACTTCAATATGAAGTACTTGAAAAGCTCATCTATGCACAAGGCCCTATTGTCACTGCTGATGTGCAGTCATCTCTGGCAGGCTAAACAAAGCCATCTGGCAAGGCCTGATAACCTTATTCCATCACTGAGGAATAATGAATCTACCTGAGTGAACGGGATTTTTTAAAGAGGGGCACAAGGTATCCCTGCCCTCATATATGATTCCATTTTTCCTGCTCCTTTCTACAGGACAAACGCACAACCTTCTGTGCACACCCCACACTCCCTTTTGGGCTTGGATCATCACGATGGATCCAAAACCCCCCCCCCAAAACAACTAATTGATTGTCAGGGTTAGTTCAGAATTTTGAACCAAAGCTCCAAGAGGCAGAACTGACTGATTAAAATGCAGAGTTGAGTTGGTCCTGAAATACATAGGACATGTGACCTCCTCTACTTCTAGGTCAGTGGTACTCAATCTTTTTAGATGCTAGGCAACCCTTAGAAAAAAAAAAGTTTTGAGCTTTCACTCTCTCATTTTGTCTATTAAAAAAAATAATAGAGCAATTTTTCTGTTGCAGAAGGCTCAAAGACCACAGCAGGTCAAAATGTTTTGGACACTGTAGATTCCTATTTGGTATCTCTGAGTTTATCTTGTGAATCAATATTGCACATCTAACAGTGCTTACATTGCATGGCACCTGTAAAAGGATCTCGAGGCACCCAGGGTGCTGCAGCACCACGGCTGAAAATCACTGCTGTAGGTTAAAGCACGCTCAGATGACACTAGGAAGAGGACATACACCCACATAGAGGAAGGAAATTTCTCCCCCCTTACCAAGGTGACCTAGACTTAGGGACTGGTTTGACCATAAGCACATGAGTAAGACTCTCTGGCCACATACCAGACAGGTTTGTAAGTAACAGCAATGCCACCAGCACACCACAGGCAAGCTTCCACCCATAAATACAGTCAAAGTACAAGGCTTCAGAAGGTGAAAAGAACCCTCAGGTACCAAATAAAGCATTCGCTGGTGATTGGGATTTCTTTTTGGTCCCTAAAGGTGACGAGCACAATCCCTGAAGTATGGGATTACCAGACCCTTCCTGCACAGAGACTGAGTTTTCTGTCTTGATTCTCCTAGAAGCATGAATCCATGCCCCAGTGGGGAATGTAAGTGGCTTGGTGCTGTAATCTCGAATGCTACCATACACTGCAAAAAGTTGAGAGCAGAGAGGTAGGCCAAACGGCACAGTGAGGGGTTGGTACCTGTTCTGCACTGAAATAAGACACCTGGAATGGAAGGATTCCCAGATGATCTTAGAACTGTACAGCAGATCTATGGGGATGGAGCATGCAGTGCAGAGCTGACATGGCTTTTGTGTCTCACCTCATACACGGCATTCTCTGTGAAGTTGAGCCTGGCCAGGGAGGTAGTGTATCGGTATGGCATATCCGTCCGCCGACTGAAGAAAACCAGGGCACTGGCTGAGTGGGAAAGTGGGCGCAGGAACACCTCAATGTGAGATTTTTCCTAGGGAGGAAAGAGGTGTTTAGGTGTCACTGACAGGAACCACTCCTCCCTTCCTCTTTCTGGGAATGAGACAACCTCCCAGCTCCTCCCCAATATACTTGTTGATTTTCAGGATGGCTTGTGAACCTGTATCTACAGGACCTAAAAGCAGTGCTGAATACTCCTCTCTGTTGTGCATGAGGTTTACAGCAGCAAACAGCAGGCAGGAATGGGCTGTGATTTCTCTATGGAAGGGGTCGGCAACCCCTGGCATGCATGCTGAGTGTGGCACACGAAGCCATTTTGCTTGGCACGCCGTGGCCAGCCCTGGCTCCGGGAAGCTGCTGCCAGCGATGGAGCCCAGGCTGCTCCGAGCAGGGCTTGTGACGTCCCAGCTGCCTGCTGGGAGCAGCACGGGATCCCAGCTGGCAGCAGCTCCCCAGAGCTGGGGCAGCTGCAGCCGGGAGGCTCCAAACAGTTGTGCCAAGCTCTGGCACCAGCTCCGCACCAGCGTGAGCAAGTGCACCTTGGAGTGAGCGGTGGAGGAGGGGGCTGAGGCAGCGCAGCCCTGGTCTCTCTCCCACTCCTGGCACGGAGGTGATGAGCCTGGCGCAGCTGTTTGGAGCCAGCCCAGGCGCTCTGGCTCTGGGGAGCTGCTGCCAGCTGGGATCCCGCGCTGCTCCCAGCAGGCAGCTGCAAGCCCTGCTCAGAGCAGACCGGGTTCCAGCAGCTCCCCAGGGCCGGGGTAGCTGCTGGAAGCCACAGAGCCCAGGCTGGGGGGCAGGGGCAGCAGGGCATCCTGCCATGTACCCCTTGCCATCATTTTGTTTTTCTGCCATGCTGGCACTGTGGCACCTTCCAAGGTAGCCATTGTGGTGTTTTTTGGCACTCTGTCCAAAAAACATTGCCTACACCTGCTCTATGGCCTTCATTTTACTAATGTCTTGGTCCCAAGTTCCCAGAACCAACCAGGGCAAAATTAACCTATGGGAAACACTCTTGGTTTTCCATGGCACAAGAGACAAAAAGGCGAACACTGTAGGGAGGTGACACAGGTCTAACTGAGCACTTCCATCATTCAAGTCTTCCCTCAATGGAAGAGGATACCTCCCCTTCCAATCCATCTTCCAACCCTCCACTAACCATTTCAATCTCCATCTTCCAGTGCTGACAGACAGAATGCTGGCCTCCCCACACTCCATAGGAAGTATTTTCTCTAGTTTCTGTTGTTCAGTGAATGATGTGACCTGATCTAGTTTGTTTCACCTGTCCTAACCAAACTTCCCAGGAGTCCCTTAGGCAGGCAAAAAGGAACTAACATGGGAATGAATTCATGAACCCTGCTGTAGTGAAAAAGCCAGATACTGAGAGAAGTTAATGTATGGGCCACTGGGCATCATTCACTCTAGGAAGACTGATAATCTAGGCAGGGAAATTAAGATTCTTACCTTTTAGGTACCAATTTTCCTTGAATTGTTAAACCTCATCTAATCAACACCTTCAAGGTTTCACCCTTTTGGATGTTCTACTCCTTATTTTCTTTCCCCCAAACTATGTAAATCAGTCAAAAATGCAAGCTGAGAATAGACTTCATCTACCCTCCACTGAGAGCTGTGACACAGAGGGAAAGCAGAAGGAAGGAAAGTGGGCAAGGAAACCTATATCTTGACTTCTCACTTTCCTCTTTTCAGTTAGGAGCTACTCCATCTTTATGATGGATTACCTGAACAGCCTTGTTTGTCATCTCTGAACTGAGTTGCAAAGAGGTGAATGTAGCAGGCAGGGGTCAATGGGTTAATCCACTGATTTCCTTCCGCGGGCAATATAATAGCCTCTGGGTCACCTTCTCTCTGATGCCCAGCCAGAACCTCTCAGGTGTTGTTCCTCCATCTAGTTCCCCATTCCTAGCCTCATGTTCTCCAGCTCCTGGCCTCTAACCCACCCATGCACACACACATTCCCTTGGATACCTTGAGGATCCTGCGTCCCTGGATTCCCAAGGGGTCTTGGTTGATTTTGATCATCAGCTGGTTCTGCAGGATCTCCTTGGCACTTCGGGAGAGCGTGCGGAGGTCATTGGACATTAAAAGGGGGGCAGCCAGCACTGTCCACAATGCCATCTGGGATCGAGACTGTTCAAAGCTGAGGCCAAAGTTCCCAATGATCAACTGTGGGACAAAGAAGGGAGCAGTGGGGAAGGGACAGTGAGATAAAAGGGGAAAGGTGTGGAAGAGCAGAAGGGTAAAACCAATCAGTGAGACAGCAATTCTACCCCAGGGCAGGATCCAACCCACCAGGTGGCAAGTGAGCACAGGAACCTGGTACGTCTTTCCACTCCTTTTCGAGCAGGCTGAGACTAGCTAATGCAGTGGGTAAAAGTATAGCACCTCACACAGGGAGGTTCAAAGTGATGTTCAATATGATGTGATGCTTACCTAATACAAATCCATTAGCTAAAGCAACTAACTCCCTTTTCCCATTCCAGACTCTTTCAACATGTGGCAGGGTGATAAAGGAAGATCAGGACAGCTAGGCAGTGGGAGGGGTATGTGGAATGATTTCCTATGATTCTGTGAATGCAGATCAGGGCTGAACAGAGAGCAAGGCAGCTCTGTTGATCTGCAGATTTGAATCATGTTCCCTTGGACCCTTCCACCAACAATCACCAGCCCTGCATCTAGGAAGGAGGTCCTGGAGACCCTCACTACCTGCATCTCCATATCCACAGCCCAAAGTTACCATGTCTGGGTCATTCCAGTGGCCAGGACCAGCCACTGCCTGCAGCACATCTTGATTTTCTGAATACCAGTCCAGAATGGTGAGGACACTGTCCCAGGAGTCCTGAATATCACCATAGTTACGCCAGAGGTTGCAGATGTTTGTCAGGAGAGTGTAGTTCACCTGGAAAAGAACAAGATAAAAAGCAAGGGGGTATCAAGGGGAATGTCTGACAGACTGGTGGAGCATATCATCATAGTTTCATAGTTGGTAGGGTTGGAAGGGACCTAGTCAGATCATCAAGTCTGACCCCATGCCATGGGCAGGAAAGAATGCAGGGGTCAAATGACCCCGGCCAGGTGAATGTCTAGCCTCCTTTTAAAGACCCCCAGGTTAGGAGCGTGCACCACTTCCCTTGGAAGTTGGTTCCAGCTCCTGGCCACCCTGACTGAAGTAGTGCTTCCTGACGTTTAGCTTGAATCCACTCTCAGTCAAGTTATGGCCATTATTGCTCGTTACTCCTGGTGGTGCTCGGGGGAACAGGGATTCTCCCACTGCCTGCTGGTCCCCCCTTGGCCAGTTTGTAGATGGCCACCAGATGCCCCCTCAGCCTTCTCTTGCAGAGGTTGAACAGGTTCAGATCCCATAGCCTCTCCTCATAAGGCCTACCCTGCTGCCCCCAATCATGTGAGGGGCCCTCCTCTGGACCCTCTCAGTGCTGTCCACATCCCTCCTGAAGTGCGGCGCCCAGAACTGGATGCAGTACTCCAGCTGCAGCCTGACCAGTGTCGCATAGAGGGGGAGTATCACCTCCTTGGACCTGCTCATGATGTATCTATGGATGCATGACAAGGTGCGGTTGGCCTTCCTGACCGTGTCCCCACATTGGCAGCCCATGTTCATCTTGGAATCAACAGTGACTCCAAGATCCTTTTCTGCCTCTGTGCTGACGAGAAGGGAGTTCCCCAGCCTGTAGGTATGGTGCTGGTTCTTCCTCCCCAGGTGCATCACCTTGCACTTGTCCGTATTGAAACCCATCCTATTCTCATCCGCCCACCTCTGTAACCTGTCTAGGTATAGTTGTAGCCTGTTTTTCTCTTCTATCGTGCCCACTTCTCCCCAGTTCTTAGTCTCATCTGCGAATTTGAACAAGGTACTTTTCATCCCCTCGTCCAAGTCACTGATGAAGATGTTGAACAGTGTGGGCCTGAGGACCAAGCCCTGGGGGAGCCCACTGCTCACATTCCTCCAGGTCGAAAATGACCCGTCTACCACCACTCTCTGGGTGCGGCCATCCAGCCAGTTTGTGACCCATCTGACTGTGTAGGCACTGACACCACAGTCGCCAAATTTTTTAATCATGGAGGGCTGCTGGGAGAACCACTATTCTGATAGAATGGTCTTTTGAGAAGTGCAAATGGGTAATGGTCTGGGGAAATAGTTTGAGGAAAGAGTTGTAACTAAATAAACACAGTTTTGAGCTAGAGAGGTGATGGGGAATACAGAAGTTGTGCACCAGGTGGGGATATAGGGACAGTTTGGGGAGATGTAAAGGACTAGAGCAGGGGTCAGCAACTTGCAGGGCCTCTGCCTCTGGTTTGTGGAGTCATGGATCTGGCAACATTCAGCGGGGGAGGTGGGCAGGAGGGGGCTATACCCCGTCAGCAATTTAAGCTCTCGCAGCCAGACACCAGGGACTTTGGTGAAGGGGGAACTTCATGGCTCCCCACCCCCACAGAAAACACTGCTGACACCTGGACTACAGTATCAGGGATGATGTAAAAGCAAGCTCAAGGAAAACTCACCTGGGTGTCATGAAATATTTAACAGTGAGCTCTGTCCCGCCTGACATTCCCTTTCAGAGACTGGTGCCCACAAGCCCACCCTGACACGTGGAGTGAGGGAGCGGTGGAAAAAAAGGCATAATGTATGGATCTGCATAACTCCAAATGGAAACCCTCCCAGGAGAATCAAGGCAGGACACTGATCAAGGAAAATCCAACAAGTCCCAGTGTGTGCCATGCTGTGCTTTACCTTGGGTGGAAGCCCTCCTCGGTAGGCTGGCCAGCTGCAGGAATAGGCGATGGGACGGCCCGTCATATTCAAGGCCTTTGTCATTCTAGGGTAGCCTTTGAGAGACAAAAAATCCAGCAAGTCAAGGAGATGGCTGGCACTGACCTAGATAAACAGATTTCCAAGCCAGAAGGGACATTTGTGATCATCTACTCTGACACTGGGCATCCCTGCATGAATTCGTGTTTGAAGGAGAGCCTCCCTTATTGCTCCATCACCCCGTAGCTACAACCCATATGCTATACCTCAGGAGAAAACTAAAACATTTGCTGAGGAACCTTTTCATATGTACTTCTTGTGAGATATTTTAAATGACTCGTAAACAGAAGGGGAGGAGCAGGGGGCACCAGAGGAGAAAAACAAAAGCTGCCTCCTTAAGGATCAAATATTTGAGGCCCTTCCTACTCGTGCGCAGATCCCAAGGCTGGAACATGATCCCCATGGTCTAGACTCCTCACCCAAATACAAAGCCATAACACATTCATACTCTACTATTAATAGGATTTCTGAGGAAAGCGGTGCCACCTTATGGCCACTCAGACAACTCCCTGCTCTGTACAGTCACCTCTCCCTTTGCTGAGAAAGTATTTCATGCGTCGGTCTCATTATCTCAGAAGGCTTGGATAATCTTCTAAAGGCCCAAGCAGGCAGAGGCCTAGAATGGAAGTCATTAGGACATGACCTCACAAAGCTTCAACATGAGCACAGCAGGGAACGCTAGCCTTTTGTCATGGGACAGCTCCATACTCAGCCATTTACGCACATCCATTCTGAAATGCACCACCAGAGCCCTTTGAGGGTGCTCCTGTTTCCAAGGGCAGCATGTGGAGTCTCAGTGCCATGGGTTACAGATGGAGACCAGAAGCGAAGTGGTCATGTCTCCCTTTACCGTGATACACAACAGAGCACCTACTGATTATAACCCACAGACTGAGCCGGTGTCTGCTGTAGCACAGGGGAAGACCTTTGCCTCAGTCTCTCTGCCTTAGTGAGAGGTGCGACTCCAAATCTAGGCAAGTCAGAGAGGAGATGGAAAGACAGACAGAGAACTACAGACATTACCCTGGGCCTGCTCATCCTCTGATGAGTAGCAGCCATCCAGCTTCAGCATGTCCACACCCCAGTGTGCAAAGGTTAAGGCATCCTGTTCGATCCGATCTAGTGTGGTTCCCGGGTAGCCACCACACGTGTGGGTGCCAAGGTCACCATAAATGCCCATTTTCAGTCCCCGGGAGTGCACCTGCAGGAGGGGGAAAGACTGTGAAAGCGAGACTGAAAGCCCTTGGGTTTTCATGAGGGGAAGTGTGAGTGTGAGAGAGAGCATGAGAGCAAGCAAGAATTCCAGGGGCTGGCACTTTACCAGCTCTCATAGTTTGAGACCATCACCTCCCATATGTCTTGGGGCTGGAGCCACTCAGCACCATGTCACAGACCTCACATCCTGAGGACATGACCTGAAATGCAGTGATAGAAAAGGTACGTTCTGCTCTCCCCTCCTCTCCTCCTTTGGGCTCAAACTTTCCAGCAGAAGCAGATGCTCACATAATCTGCCAAGGCTTTGATCCCTCTGGGGAACCTCTCAGGATCTGGGACCAGTTGCCCTGATGCATCCCGCTGCTTTGCCATCCAGCAGTCATCGATGTTCACATACACATAGCCCAGCTCCTTCCAGCCATCGTTTGCCAGGCGGTCTGCCATGTCCATGAAGAGCCTCTCACTCAAAGAAGAGAAAAGAGACTCAGAAGAGGCAGAGGTAATAGGGCAATCCATTATATACTGTTCTACCAACAAAACTTAGTACCCTGCTACTCCTTACCCCAAATGTGGATTGAAAAAAACCATCAACTGACACTGATTTGTGTAAATCTTGAACAAAAACAGAAGAAAAAAAAAAAAACTTTGAGGTGCTACCTCTTCCCTGCCATTACCTTTGTGGCCTGGGCTCCACAGCAGACTCTCAAGGACTTTCTCCAGCCCTGTTTTAAAGCAACATGTGCTTCTCTTGGAAGACTACTCCACCACTCAGCAGAGCTTGACAACAGTAAAGGTTTCCTATCACTCCTACCCATGCCTCTCAAAACCTCAGTGATTCTATCTATCTAGGGTACTAATGTGGCTGTATTATTGGAGTACTTCACAGGACAGTTGGGAGGATCAGTGAATGAAAAACTGTGAAGCAGGGCAGTCCTGTTATTCCCACTGTACAGACAGGCAAGTAACTTAGACTCCCTGTACCTCAGTTTCCTATCAGCATGTGAGTACTCTGGGTGGGAGCAGGCTAGTACCCTAACTTCCCTAGCATCTTTGATCTCCTAACTCTACTTGCTATTCACACCCTTCAAATGTATGTTGGCAATTACCACCTGCCTCCCTTAGACACGGCAAGGCCAGTGCAGATATACATAGTTCATTCACTTTTCTAGGTCACAACTTCCTACCCCTGCAGCAGTTTTGCTTTTTAAATTCCCTCCCATTTCTTACCCTCTTTGGGCTCCTGAGGTCCCAGAACTGAATCAGAGAATCTCACCAAGGTCTTAGGAGGGGCTCTGTATTGAGGGCCCATCTCCTCTCTCATCAGCTATTAATACTACCTATTATTTGTTACATCAGCATCCACCTTCTCATGTGGGGTATTATAAAACTATACAAACAATACTGGCCATCCATCAGAGCTTATGGTCTAAGTATATTTGATCCTGGGTCTTTGTAGAGCCAGTAGAAAGGAGGATCTCTTGAGGTCCTGTTGCCCTATGATATCCCCCAGACTACGACAATAAGTGGGTGCAAGGCAATTATGAGAGGGAGTGACAGGGTGGTTATGTAAGGGTAGCAGTGATGAGAACATACCTGGGTGGATCCAGGATTTCCTTAAAGGGGGTTCAACTCTCCCCTCAGACCAGGAGGATGGGGGTGAGGCAGAGCTGGAGTCCCCAGGTTGACAGGGGACATCAGGGAGCAGGGCACAGATCAGTGAATCAGCAGTGAAGCTGGGGGGTTAGGTGCATAAGGGAGGACAGAGAGGGAGAAATGCCCCACCCCCCGCTAACACTGCTGCTACTACCCCCCGGATGGCCTGAGGCCAGGGTCAAGGTCACAGAGCCACTCCTGTCCCACTTCAACCAGGGGCTATGGAGGTTGCTGCTCAGAGTGCCTGGCTCAGCTGTGGATGGAGGTAGTAGCACACAGTTTCCTCCTTCCAGTCCCTTCTCCCTGTCCCCCTTCTCTCCCAGTGTCCCCTACTGGCAGGGAGCTGGTGATAGAGAGAGGAACCTGCATGCTACACCACTGTCCCCAGCTGAACCAGACAACCCGCACAGCTCTTCCCTGCAGCACAGCGCAGGAGTAACTCTAGGTCCCCTCCCTAGTGCCTGCATCAGCTGGGGGCAGCAACAACAGTGCACAGGTTCCTTCTTCCAGCACCTGCTCCCAACCAGTGGGAGACCCTGAGTGGGGGCTGAAGCAGGGGAGGGAGGGCAGGGAGCAGGCACTGGAGGGAGGAACCTGTTCACCACTACTGCTGTCCCCTGCTGAGCCTGATACCCTGCACAGCTGCAGCCTGTGGTTGGAGGAGGGCAGGAGCAGTTCTGGAGGTCCCCTGTACCCAGGTCAGCTGGGCACAGCAGCAGAAGAGGGGTGTGCTCACACCACTGCACCTCCCCTGAATGCCCCCTGGGAACCCACAGTTACAGAGACTAACCAAGCAGACAATTACATGTGTTGGGCTTAATTAAACTGATGTAATTTTGCCACCTGTCTTCACACTGGGAGTATTTATATAGAATCATAGAAAATTCAGGTTGGAAGGGACCTCAGGAGGTCATCTAGTCCAACCCCCTGCTCAAAGCAGGACCATTCCCAGCTAGATCATTCCAACCAAGGCTTTGTCTGGCTGGGTCTTCAAAACCTCCAAGGATGGAGATTGCACAACCTCTCTGGGTAACTTGTTCCAGTGTTTTACTACCCTCCTAGTGAGAAATTTTTTCCTAATATCTAATGCAAGCTTCCTTTGCTGCAACTTGAGACCACTGCTCCTCGTTCTGTCATCTGCCACCACTGAAAACAGTCTGGCTCCATCCTCTTTTGAACCTCCCTTCAGGTAGTTGAAGGCTGCTATTAAGTCCCCTCTTAGTCTTCCCTTCTCTAAACTAAAAAAGCCCAGTTCCCTCAGTCTTTCCTCATAAGTCATGTCCCTCACCATTTTTGCTGTCCTCCACTGGACTCTAAAATTTGTACACATCCTTTCTGTAGTGGAGGGCCCAAAACTGAAACATAGTACTCCAAATGTGGCCTCACCAGTGCTGAATAGAGGGAAATTATCACTTCCCTACACCTACTGGCAACGCTGCTACCAATGCAACCCAGTATGCTGTTAGCCTTTTTGGCAACTAGGGCACACTGCTGGTTCATATTCAGCTTATGGTCCATTTATCTACTATTTTCCTTGACAGTCAGCAGTGAGAGAAGACATTATATTAACATTTGTCTTGAGCACTTCACAATGGGATGGGCAGATCATATTTTTTAGATGTGCTTCTGCTGCTACAGAACATTTTTCTTGCCTTTGCTCTAAGCCCTCTTGATTTTCGTGCCTCAGCTTACAAATGGCCAGCACGCCAATCCAGAATCCTGTGAGTTTCTGCTGGTGAGAGATGAAACAGGGCTCAATTTCTTCAAAAAGCATTTTGGTGCTACAGGAGGGGGTCAAATCTTCTAGGATGGGTCAGGAGATCTCAAAACGGGATCTGACATTTCTGTCGCCAGAAAGAACAAAGGCACACCCCAGCCAAAATGAAATTGTAAATAACCCTGAGGCTTCAGTTGAAAAACTGCAGATTCATCCCATCGGTGGGAGGCCAGGAAGACATTTCTCTCCACAAAACGTGCGTCTATTACTGCATGCTAGTGCAATCTTAAGTCTTTTTCTGGAGCATGAGATTTTGGTGCTGTGGGAGTTGGGAGACTGGCCTGGACTGCCTAGCATCTTAACCCAGGGCAGCAGTCTTCCAATTCAGCATCTGGGTTCTTTGCCTTGTGGTGAACTTTGAGTCACGAGTGAAATGAGTTTGGGTGGTTATCTCGCCTCAGACCCCTCTAGGTGGGATTTTGCATCGCAGCCTACCCCTTGCTCCTCCACACAATTAGTACCCAAGCTCTGGCACAACATGCCCACTCCTTCAGAGGTCTCTGCTCTTAACACCTCTACTCCTTTTACCCCTCCAGCTATCGAGTAGCTGTAGATGGAGGGAGGAAAAGGATTGCTACCCAAGGACTGGGGCGGAGTGAGGGAGAGAAGGAAAGGAGGAGATACTGGCTCTCCTCAGGGTGTCCATGGGTTAGGGGATGATGACTCAGATTGGGTACCACCCTACCTTCCCTGGCACTGAAGGCTATCCAATCAAAACTTAACACTAAGCTGATGCTTTAGCTCTGGACATCTAGAGGGGAGCATGGCATTTCTCTGTGGCTCCCTCACTGGAAAAAGGAGCCAAATGGGTCTGAACTATTTAGGTAGATTGCCTTTTTGTCCTCATAAAGCAGCTTCCCCACTCACCTAATGCAGTTCTTGGGGTCTGCTTTGCAGTCGATGTTGCAGCGAAATCTCTCCCAAGCCAGCCAGCCCATCGGGGGTGTCCTCATGAGCCCATTCTCTAGTGCTAGGGCACAGGCCACCAGGGCCAGGCCACAGACATAGGCCACCAACTTCATTGCCCTGGAGTGAGGAGTGAACACTAGAAGAGAGAGACACAAACCTGTCATTGGAAGGAGTCCCTTGCTGTCGCAGGGATCAGCAGGGTTGACTGAGGGAGTCCCCCTCTGCGGCAGGTCACAGGCCGGTAGCAAAATCTCCTGTGTCCCCTCATATAGGCCAGTGGCGAAGATAAAAATGAGGTACAGCATGTCCTACCCTATGTAGCAGGACAAGATCCTCCAACTCTGCCCCATGCAAATTATGGCCCTTTTGGCATATAAGAATTTGACTGTGTTGGGCCACCACAGGTCACGCGCATGCCAGATCCTGTGCCAGGATCCGGGTGGTTGGTCACTTCCTCTCAGTTAAAATAAACAATGTAGTAACACAGTAGGTGCCCCTGCTCTTGTAAACTCACCTAACACAGACGTGGCTTGGCCAGTTAGGTATGGAGCCCAAGAGCAGGCAGCCTGTCAGCAATTTAAGTATCACAACATTCAACTTGCTCTCAGCATAGAGATGCCACAGTACTCACAGCAAGGAAAGCATTGCTAAAGGGCCTGGGTGGGAATGCAGATGTTTAACATGTGGTTGGAGTTAGAAAAATGCTAACTCTTGCCATTCTATTTGGGCTGTCGTAGGATATCTGATAATCCCTACAGGACCCAGCTCCAGGAGTCATGTGAGTAAGTAAGACTTCCATTTTTTAAAATCAGTTTCTAGCTCTGAGGGTCAAAGAGAAAAATCCTTGTTTCAAATGCTGCAGCACCAGAAGACAAAAAGAACACAAAAGTTATTACTTAAAAAAATCCTGATTTGTACACTACTCTCAGGCCTGCTTTTTGAATGCCTGGAGCAGGCAATATCGAATACAGCTCTGTATAAATGGTACCTGCCCACTGTGGGCCTCCCATTGCTGCCTGCTTAGGTTATAGACAAAGACAAATTGTGAGCACCATTCGCCAGGAGTCAGAACAGGGTTGGGCAGTGATGGTGGGGAATACCTGCATTGTACAAACATCTCTATGGCAGGCTCAGGTGGCTACTTTGGCTCTGCACCTCCCCAGCTTCACAGGAACTCCTGATGCAGGAGACTGGTGGGAGGAACTCCTACATCCAGTACACTTACCAGCTGCCACGAGGCTCTTGGGATCCAGGGCAAGAGCTAAGACTGTCCCAAGGGCTGCTTGACCTCACATCACATGCCAAACCAGCCCCTGGCAACTCCAGCACAGGGGAGATCTTCCCTTCATCCCAGCACTGGGATCTGCACTAGTTTAGGGATGTATTAGGGCAGTGGTTCTCAATCTTTTTAGACTTGAGGCATCCCAAGAGAGACTCAAGGCACCCCTCGGAAAATGCCATCTCTTAGTTTTTATACTTTTTTTGAGTGCAGAAAAATAATAGAGTAGCTTTTCTATTGCAAAGAATTCAGAAAGACCACAGCTAGGGATGTTTATTTGAAATCCCTGGGGTCATCCCATGAATCATGTTTGCACACCTAACAGCCGACATTGTGCATCACCTTGTCACACCCGTGAAAGGATCTCAAGGCCCCCCTCAAGGCTGTGGCACCCTGGTTGAAATAGTTAGGGCCTATCTGGCTGACCGAGAGCAACATCTTGAACACAACTAGGGAAATATTCATCCTAGAAGAAGGTGGATAGCAAGCACTGTTGTTTGCTTGGTAAAGGAGGAGAGAGGTTGTCAAACAAGAGGTCACACCCTGTTGGTCCTGTAGGCCCAGCGATATTTGAATAGAGTCTGAACAGAGACCTTGGTGGAGCTGTGGGAGCTAGAGCAGGGAGGCTGCCTTTATTGGGACCAGTATCCCCATTGGGTGTATGACTACAAGCATAAGCAGCTCAAAGCTGCTGCCTACAACATGTGCAGGCAGAAGCGGAAGACATGCAGTCTGGGGTATCGCTTCACACAGTCATCTAAAAAGAGGAGCGTAGGTCACTGCAAAGCAGACTGAGGAAGTTGTGGCGGGGGGCAGGCAACTCTCAGCTTCTCCTTTTCTCTTTAACCAAATGTAAATCTTGGTCTCAAAACTGGGCGTCAAAGCCTGAACCGGTCACGAGTGCAGACAGACAGAAAACAGGGAGATTACTGTTGCTCAGACTGACTCTTTGCTTTTCTGCAATGTTAGCTGCAGCTATCAAGGCAAGAGCTGCAATCTATGGGTACTTTTATATGTGTTGTGGTGTGAGGGGGGACAGAGGTGCTTTAGTTATACCAGCTCCAAGAGCTGCTCTAATTAAAGCACTGCAGTGTCTCTTGTATCAGCATCCCTATACTTCAAAATGGCAGTGGGGGTCCTTGAACTAAAGCTTGTTTGACAACCATTGGTTCAAGCACCCCTGCCACCATTTTGAAGTGTGAGGATGCTGACACATGAGATGCAGAAGGCTGTTGGAGCACAGTAATTACCACGATCCAGCAGATTCAATTAATTACAGCACATGAAAGCAGTAACTACAGTGCATCAGAGCAGCCTCCAAGCTCATGTACAGGCACTAATAGGCATTTCTAGGTAAGATGATGAGTAGTAGGTGATGAGATTTGGGGGGAGGTCTCATTTAGTAGCTCAGGAGAGGCATCGGGGGGCTTCTTAAATGGTATGCAACTATTTCATCAAATAAACCCAGTACTGAATTATCTACCTGGCAGTCTGCCCCAGTCAGAAACATCTCCTAGAACCCTCCTGCAGCCTGCCCGGTCTTAGAGAACATAGTTATGTTCTCATGGTCACCTGATCATAAATCATGCATGTTGCTCTAGTCTGCGAGGGGATGAATAACATGTTAATGAAAAAATATGTACGTATTGCACTGGAGGCAAGGCCCTGCTTGGAATCATCTCCTAGCCTTGATCTGCATGCTTCTAGTTAGATCTCAACAGGATCATGGACGGAGCAGTAAATCTAGGATCACAATTCCTCCCTACTAGCCCACTCCAGTGCTGGCCAGGGGGGAAATTAATAGAAGCATTTTAATTTTCATTGACTTCAACAAACACTCGATTTTGCACTCTCCCTTCACATAAAATTGGGGAAGATCCTCAGAAATCCATAGAGAGCTTAAGACCATCACCGTGGAAGCAAAAATTTGAGTAGATGCAGAATATGTCCAGAGGAGTGGGGAACAGGGTACAGAGCCTCTCATCCAGCTCATTTGTTCCAAACCAGCCCCAGGACAACAGTGACTGCAAGTCCACGAGCTGCACAGAAAATGCCTGGTTCAGTTCGTAATGGAACAAATTCTCACATGGTAAAGATCAGCCCTGTATTTTGCACAAACTGCCTGTTCGTCAGCAGTCTCAATAGATGCCAAGAAGTCAGTGGACCTCAAGCGTAGCGTGCTGTTCACAGCAAACGGTGTAGGTCATGCCAGGCATCAGTCTGGGATGCATCTGTGCAGGGGTAGAATTAGGTCATCATTTAATCTTAGGATTTTACAAACTTAATCCTGATTTCAAGAACGGTCCACAGGCAGTTACTGATTTTACCTCATCTTTGTTACTCGTAACTGTGAACATATTACAACCTGCAGAGCATTCATTATTCAAGTTGTGAGACTGGATGTTTGAAACTTTAGTAATGAAAAGGCAGGCCCCGGTTGCCATACTTAAGGCCTACTGTCTGTCTGCCCACGAAGTAGCAACTCTGCAGTCCCAGAAAGTGACATCAAAAACAGGGGGAGGGGGATCCTACTTTTTATATAGATAAAGCAGAGAGGTTTGGGTCACAAACCAACGGGCCAAAAAGAGGGAACAGATAAAAAGTAAAGGAACATCAACTGTGGTAATATACACTCAGCACCTTACTTTCCACCATACTTGTAGAGGTGTCTCCAGTCCAGCCAGTCCCAGAGCACTCAAACAGCAGCAGTGTGCAGCTGCCTCCCCTCAGTCTGGGCCCAGCTCCTTCAGTCCACACAGTCTTGGCTGACCAAGCCAGTGGGACCCCCAGCTCAACTGTGCACTCCTCCTATACAGGGCCGACTAGTCTCCCTGGGTAGGGGCTGCACTGTACCCATCTCGCTGCAGCCACACATACCTCTCCAACTTGTCTGCCTCCTCTCCACCGCTCCACAGACTGCATCCTGGTTCCACCTGCTCTTACCCACATCACTCATTATAAACTGTTCAAACAAAGAGCAGCCACTCCCCAACTTTTGTGCTAACTAAAACCTGCATGCAGGAACTTCCACAGGCAAAAACAGTGCATGGATGGACAGACTGAGGAACAATACAAGACTGGAGTCAGTATTTCTGAACAAGCACTTGCACCCGTTCACAAATGGGAGCTCCAAGACAAGCAGGAAGTACACCCAGACCTAGATCACCTATTTTGTACCAGATCTTGGTAGTCTCCAAGCATATTCTAGTAGTGTTTTACAGGACATGACAACTAATATGTTTGTTCTCTCCAGTGGAAAGGTATCCCATAGAGGGTTTTATTTATTGGGTAGTCTCCAAGCATATTGTAGTAGGGTTTTGTTTTGGAATAAATGTCTACACCCAAAGAGCTATACATTTATGCTAGGAAAGGAAAGATTAGACGTGTACCCCACATTTAAGAGTTCAGGGAAACAAAATAGTCTTTTATCTGAAGAGATGGTCCTGCCTCACAAGACTGGAGGAACATTTCTGGAAAGCAGGTGGGGCAGGTGAAGGGCACAAGTAAAGATTGCATTGCTGCCATCTGCACTTTATGTATTTTAGAAGGCTATGCAGAGCATGTTGGCTCATTTACTAATCATCTGGTACAATCTTCACCCATGGAACAGCTGAACAACCCCAAGACAGTGACAGCTTCACACCAGATCACCGGGAGAGCAGCCTCCAAACAGGAAACAATCCCAGCCCCGTATGGGGTGGAAAAGGGAACCTTCCACATGAACAGAATAATCCCCCGTTAGCAGCCACGCTTCCCAGGGGAAACTCCACGCACATGCACCGGCATGGGACTCGGGTCTGACTACAACAGTGATTCTCAACCAGGGTCTTTTCAAGAGTGCTCGGACATGCCACACAACATTAGCACTATGAGGTGTGCAAACATGATTCATAGAGAAGCAGGGCTGGAAGGGACTTCCAGAGGTCATCTAGTCCAACCCCCTGCCTCAGGCAGGATCATCCCTCTTCAAACCAAGATAAGCCCAGATATTTCAAATAGGAATCCAAGGCGTTAAAAACATGCTGACCTGCTGCTATCTTCCTGAGCGTTTTGCTACAGAATAAAGGCTCTGGTATTTGTCTGTGGTCAAAATATAAGTGAAAACTAAGAGCTGGCATTTTCCAAGGGGTGCCTGGTGGCTAACAAGGGGTGCTCTGAATCTAACCAGGTGTGCCTTGAGTCTAAAAAAGGCTGGGGATCGCTGCTCTACGTAGAGCCTTTTATCCAAACGGTTCCAAAGCCCCTGGTTTGGCCATGTGGTGGGCGACACCACCCTGGTGCTGCAAATGAAAGAGCAGTGACTTAAACGTATAGCACATTATATATGCATACATGAGACACGCAGGAGGGTATATATAATGTGCTAGATGTTTAACTCAACAAAAGAGCAGCAATTAAACATACACCACACATATACATATGCACACATACATATATGCCCATGCAAACAAATATGCATATACACACACATGCATATACACCAGGGGAAGGTGGAGGGCTGCTTACTGAGTTTTGGTAAGCTATCAAGGGTCGCATGACAGGCAACCCAGGGCAGATAAATATTAATTTTCTAAATATTTTAGGGGCCCTGCAGGCCGGATTCGGCCCATGGGCCACATTTTGCCCACCCAATATACACACACACACACACACACACACACACACACACACACAAGCATATACATGCATGCACAGACACATATACACACACAGGCACCCATGCATCCACACGCACCCGGGTGCACCTATGCATATACACACCCATGGGCCCACCCATGCATATACAAACGGGCACACCTATCCATATACATGTGCATGCAGACATGCACGCACATATACATATATACTCACTTGCGCACATACACGCCAGCACGTACACGCACACGCGTGTACGTGTGTGTGTCTACACACAGGCGGAGGAAGCTCCCGCGCCCTGGCCGGGGCTGGCTCCCTCCCTATCCTGCGCCATGGGAGGGGAAGCCCCGGGGTCCCGCCGCCCCCCGGCCCGCGCCGCACTCACCGCGCCGGAGCTCCGCCAGCCCCCGCCGCCTCCTT